TATGGCCTCATTCCCTCTAGATTCTTGATTCTAAAGGATAAAAATGCTGCAGTTCAGAAAACAGGACTTGCCTTTAAAAGATGGAGAGAAAAAAGAAAAAAAATAGTATTTCCATAGGAACTAAGCACTTTCCAATGTTCTGTATTCTCTGAATTTTTTGTCTTCACAAAGGATGCCATATCAGCTACCTGAAAATACCCTCGTTGACACTCGGAGTCTTTTAAGCTATAGTGTCTCAGGAGGTTTGTGTTCAGCTCTCCCTAAAATCTCAGTCACGGTGTCACTCAGAGCACAGAAGTGCTCAGCAGAGTCGCTCACATGAGCTGAGGATTTCCTCAGGTGGAAGGTTTTATTTTCCCAAATTGAGCTTCAAAACCTTTGATGCCTGAGACAAGGCTGTTTCCAGAGTTTACGTCAGGAGAATATGAAGTCCTTGGTTGGGGTATTGCACATACTAGAAGAGAAGCTGTGAAAAAGAAGAAAAATACTTGCACCTCCGCTCCAGGGGGGCTCCTTCAGAGATGTTGATGTGGCTGTCAGGCTGGGTCACTGACTGGGTTCCTGAAATGTCAGTGCCATGTCAGTAAACTCAGCTAAAACATAAAGTCCCTATTCGGAGTCAAATCAAAACAGTGTTCTATCTGTGGACAAGGAAGTGAAATGGAATGTTACTCACTCAGGAGCAGGTGCACTCCCAGCATCAAGGCGAACACTAAGGTCATGGCCCAGCAGTAAAACAGCAGCAAGCTCCTCCTGAGAGTTTCCCCACAAACAAAAACAGTCTGATGACTGAGGGGACTTGAAGCCAGATGCTCTGAGATTGATGGGGAATGATGGGGGTTTAAATTTCTTCTCAGAGACATTGTAGGGACTGTTAGGAAGAAATGCTCTCTTGACAAAACTGCCTGCCCCAGGCATCTGAAATTCTCTGTATGTCATTATCTTAAAAACTGCAGTCAGGACACCTCTTTAAGTTGTAGGGAAGTTTTTTATGAGCTTATTCCGAAAAGCCATTTCCAATTTAGGCAATAATGCCCTCTAGGAGCCAAATAAAGAGCAAAGGAGATAGTCACAATTTTTGTGAACATTCCCCACCTCCTTTCTGCTCTCAATAGTTGACATTTAAAGCATTAGGATTATGTACAGAGGAGTATTTTTGTTTTGCAGGCAAACTTATAAAGTGGGGGGGGGGGGTTAAAAAGAGCACAAAATTATGGATAAAAATTGCATACAAAATAATTTTCAGGCTGAAATCGGTTTGGCTCAGTGGATAGAGCATCGGCCTGTGGACTGAAAGGTCCCAGGTTCGATTCCAGTCAAGGGCATATACATTGGTAGCGGGCACATCCCCAGTGGGTGTGCAGGAGGCAGCTGATCGATGTTTCTCTCTCATCGATGTTTCCAACTCTCTATCTCTCTCCCTTCCTCTCTATAAAAAATCAATAAGATATATTTAAAAAAAATAATTTTCAGAATGAGAAATAAAGTACAAATTTTGAAAAACAAATACCACAAACATCATAAAAATCTAAAAAGTTACATAATATTTTATTGCTTATTTCTCTACACATTTCTGCAATACTTTTTGTTTCTATGTTTTTTGGCTCCATACTTTTAAATTGTTTCTTCATATGACAATACATGTGTAATACTTCCTATAAAGAGAAAAGAAAGATAATTCAGTATACTCTTAGCATGGCTGATCGAATTTATGGTTTTTAAAAAATGTTTTTATTGAGTTTTAGAAAGAAAGTAAGGTAGAAGGGGAAAGAGAGAAATGCCAATGTGAAAGATAAACATCAATCGGTTGCCTCCCAAATACACCTCCATTGGAGACCGGGTCTACAACCAGGAGGGGGTCCACCATCTGGGCACATGCCCAGGCCAGGATTTGAACTGATGACCTTTGGTGCGTGGGACAACACTCAACGAACTGAGTTACACCAGCCAGTGTTCAATTTTTTTTTTTTAATTTGCGGAGAATTTTAGTACCATGTACATTTTTAGAATAATAGTCAAATTTTGGTAAATGTCTACCAAGTTACTATGTGCTGTAACATTTCATTGCATTTCTAGTTTTCTTATGCTGTAACAAACCCTAAATATTATGAACTGATGACACTCATTAACCAGTATATTAATTCTGTATTAGCTGCCTATTGCTGTGTAACAAATTACCCTGAACAACACCCATTTATCCCACCATTTTTGTAGGTAACAAATCTGGACAGAGCTAAGCTGGATCTCACAAGGCTGCGATCAATGAGTCAACTAAGGCTGCTATGTGGTCTGAAGAGTAGGGTTCTCCTCCAAGCTCATGTGGTTGTTATCAAAATTCACTGCCTTGTAGCTGTAGAACTAAGGGCAGCTTGCTTCCTTAAGACTAGCAGGAGAGTCTCTCTAATCTCAGGAAAAGCCTCAGACCTCTTTTAAAGAGCACACACAATGACATCAGGCCCACAATCTCCCTTTTAATTAACTTAAAGTCAAACTGACTAGGAACTTCAATAACATTGTCAAAAATCCTTCATCTTTGTCAATAATGAAGCTTAATCATACAAGTGCCACCCATCACCTCTAGGTCCTGTCCAAGTTCTAGGAGAGGAGATTCTACAGGGCATGTATACCACAAAGGCAGAAATCTTGAGCACCATTTTAGAATTCTGTCTATGACAGTTGTATCCTCACAGTACAGGTATATTATGAGTTTTCTATTATTCCCATAAATGTAAACATTTTGTGACCAATCAGCAAGAAGTTAATAAAAACCTTAATAGATACACCTGAGCAAGGCCATTTCAAGGGAAAGGAAGAACATAAAGAAAGTCAACCTCCAGCAAAGGTAAGGAATCCAGTTTATAGAGAGCAGAATGCATAAACATGGCAACAGCGGGCTATCCTATATAATAAAGGGCTAATATGCAAATGGTCATCACACCCTCATGCCATAAAGGCTCAGACACCCAACACTGGGGAGAGAGTAATGGGGACTGGTCAGGCACAAATGAGCTCACAAGAGAGGAATGGGGATCAGCCAGGCTGTGGCCCAGGAGAGGGACAATCTGTACACCCCATGATCCCCGAAGTCCCAGGCACCAGCAGCTGTACCTGTGGCCCAGGAGAAGAACAAGCTGCCCACCCCGCAGTCACGGGCACCAGCACCTGCAGCTGTGGCCTGGGTGAGGCCACCCACAGTCCCCTGAAGCTGTGGCCAGCCTGGGTGAAGCTGGCCCAAGTCCTGGGTGTCTGTGGCTGGCAAGAGGGAGGAAAGCTCAGGTCCTAGGTGCCTGTGGCTGGCCAGAGGAGGGAATTTGGGTCCTGGGTGCAAGGCAGAGGTGGTTAGGGGTCATCAGGCCAGCAGGGGAGCAATTAGTGGCAATCAGGCAGGGAAGAAGAGGGGCTAGGAATGGTCAGGCAGGCAGACAGGCAAGTGGTTAGGTGCCAGTGGTCTCTCATTGCGAGAGGCAGTTGGATATCCCCCAAGGGGTCCTGAATTAGAGAGGATGCAGACTGGGCAGAGGGACCTCCTGCCCCTGTACATGAATTTTGTGCACGGGGCCTCTAGTCTATTGCATAAAAGGCCTGTGGTCATGACACCATAATGTCATCATGACAAACAACTGGATTCAACAGAAGATGCATTGATGGGACCCACAGCAGCCATAGCAGGTGGGACTTCTGGAGTGTCATGGGCTCTGGCAGCGTCTGCAAAGAGTGTGAGGCTTTGCAGGATGGCAGACATGGCTCTGATGGCAGGCTAGGCCTAGGGGACTACACACACACACACACACACACGCACACACACACACACACACATGCACACACACGATTTAATTGTGTGTTGGGCCTCTAGTAAAACTATAAGAGTATTAGAGCCAGTTAGAGAGATGGGATATAATTTTCAATATTGGAAGGTTGCTGACAGTAGACCATCAAGCCTTTAAAGAAAGAAGGACTTGTTAATGGTTCTAAGCTCCCACCTCAAGAACTTAGAAATAGAATAGAAAAATTAATCCAAAACAAGCAGAAAGAGGAAAATGATAAAAATAAAAGCAGAAATTGATGAAATTGAAATTAGAAAAACAACAGAGAAAAATCAATGAAACAAGAAGCTGGTTTGTTTAAAAGATCAATGTAACTGACAAACTTCTAGCAAAATGAAGGGGTAAATGGGAAAGATGTAAGCAAGCTAACTAGAAGTTGGGAATCTTGTGACTGATGAGCGGTAAATGTTTGTCCTTTTCCAGTTGATTCTGAGTTAGACAAACCTCTGAAATATTATGCTGAGTGAAAGAAGCCATACACAGAAGGCCACATGAAATGTATGAATATATGAAATGTACAGTATTGGTAAATCATAGAGACAGAAAGCAGGCTGGTGGTTACCATGGGCTAGGGGAGGGGAGAATGGTGAGCAACTGCTTAATGGGCATGTGGTTTCCTTTCAGGGTGGTTTTAAAACTAGATAGAGGTGGTGGCTGCACAATGTTGTGAATGCATCAGGTACCACTCAATTGTTCACCTTAAAGAGTGAATTGTATGACATGTAAATTAATTTCAATAAAGCTGGTACTTAATTTGATGTTGATAAAAATCTAAAAATAAAAGAATTCACAATTTCATTTTATTTCATGATAGCAGGGTTTGTATATTTAATTGCTTCTATCTCAGAGTAAGTCAATTTCAAAAATCCCCCAATGGAGGAAAGTTCTTCAGCTTCAAGACAGGACATGTGGCCTGGCCAGGGTGGCTCAGTGATTGAGCATCCACCCATGACCGAGAGGTCATGGGTTTGATTCCCCATCAGGGCTGATGCCTGGGTTGTGGGCTCAATCTCCAGTGGTAGGTGAGCAGGAGGCAGCTAATGGATCGCTTTCATAAATGTTTCTATCTCTCTATCCCTTTTCCTTTCCCTTTCTCTAAAATCAAACAAAATAAAAGTAAAAAGAAAGGACATGTGGTTGGAGCCTCAGCACAGTTTGGGTATTGGTGACAGGCGCTTACTGTGCACTGTGCCTCACAGCACAGAGGTAGGTGGTCGAGTCGCCAAGCTGAGAAGTTGCAATGTATAAAGCACTGTGTCTTGACGTTTTATCCAACGTGACTTTCATTCTTCCAGTTGTTTCCTCTCTCTGATTGGACTGAATTAACAGCAGAGGTGTGAGCCCTTTCCCAGGGTCCTGCCTAAACCACTGAAGGAAGTAAATAGCACTATCGGTGTAACTGCAGTTGAGAAACAAGCTGTCTCTCTCTCGGACAGTCAGAGCTCCAGGACTCTGATTCACCTCCTGTTTACTGCTCACCCCTGTTTAGAAAGAGAACATGGAGAGAGAGAGACTGGTTAGTGGCTGATTATTCTCTGGAAATTACTTTTTAATTTAGTTTTTTAAATTTCTAAAGAAACTTCCAGAAAATTACACTAGTACAGCTCCCTGTCTTTCTCTTTTTCCTTTTTTGCCCATTCCCAAATCCCTCTAACTCACAGTCTAGTTGCAGCCAAATGATGAGCAGGCTCAGGAATTTGTCCATTTTTCCGTCACTTAAACTCACCGGGAACTATCCTTGTGTCTGTAGTATTGAAGGCTCACAGATAAAGGATCTACTTTGCTATCTCAAATGTTCAAACATTTCTATAGGAAACACATAGTCAGCCCAACCAATCACAAACAAGTCACACACAAACCCACACTGATCTGCATTGTGGGGAACAGAAATGGAAGCACTGCCATCTAGGGACACAGCCCAGCATTGCTAGAAAAATGCTTATCTCTTCTGAATAAAAACAATTTAAATATATATATATATATATATATATATATATATATATATATACACACATACACATACATACATACATACATACATATATCAAATTTGTAGAATGTAGATAAATCAGTTAATAAAAAGAAATGTACTGCTTATATTAGAAAAGAAGTACTTTAAACAATTTCTTATATGTGTTCCCTCCTCTTATCACTTCAAGCACTTAATGTCTGGTTTCCCTTAACTTATATTTCCTTGAAAAGTTCCTTTATATCATTTATCACCCACAGATTGCAAAGAATATAAAATAACTAGAGGCCTGGTGCACAAAATTCATGCTCAGGGGTCCCTCAGCTCAGCACCCTCTCCATTCCGGGACCCCTCTGGGGATGTCCAACTGCTAGTTTAGGCCCAATCCCCTACTCCTAATACTGGACTGCTGGCTCCTAATCACTCACCTGCCTGCCTGGTCACCCCCAACTGCCCTCCACACTGCTGACCTGGTCACCCCTAATTGCAACCACTGGCCAGGTTGTCCCTAACTGCCCCCCTCTGCCAGCCTGGTCACTCCTAACTGTTCCCCTCTGCTGGCCTGGTTGCCCCCAAATGTCCCCCCTGCTGGCCTGGTTGCCCCTCACAACTCCCCACCAGCCTGGTTGCCCCATGCAGCCTGCTTGTTCAGCCATTTGGCCATCCCTCACTAAACCCTGCCATCAAGGTTGTAGGCAGCCATTTTGTGAGGGCATGAGAGTTAATTTGCATATTACCTCTTTATTATTTAGGATAATATTATTATCCAATATGTGTGATGTAAGGAAATTACCACTCTTGTATCTAATAACTGAAGCAAAACCAATATTTATGGATATGCCAAAAATCCTGCTAGGTTGGGAAGTTTTTCTCAAGAAATGTCCTTATAAAATACTAGAGGCCTGGTGCACAAAATTCATGCAAGGGGGTGTGTCCCTCAGCCCAGCCCGCACCCTCTCCAATCAGGGACCCCTCGAGGGATGTCCGACTGCTTGTTTAGGCCTGATGCTAGACATCCCTTTCATAATCTAGGACTACTGACTCCTAATTGCTCGCCTCCCTGCCTTCCTGATTGCCCCTAACTGCTTCTTTCTGCCAGCCTGATCACCCCCTAACCACTCTCCTGCCAGTATGATTGATGCCCAACAGCTCCCCTGCCAGCCTGTTTGCACCTAACTACCCTCCCCTATAGGCCTGGTCTCCGCCCCCCCCCCCCCCCAACTGCTCTCCCATGCAAGCCTGGGTCTCCCACAACTGCCTTTCCCTGCAGGCCCAGTTGTTCCCAACTTCCCTTCTCTGCTGGACTGGTCCCCCTCCCAACTTCCCTCCCTTGAAGGCCTGGTCCCTACGAACTTCCCTTCCCTGCTGACCTGATTGCCCACAACTGTCCTCCCTTGCAGGCCTGGTCTCTCCCAACTGCCCTCCCCTACTGGCCATCTTGTGGTGGCCATCTTGTGTCCACACAGGGCAGCCATTTTTTACTACATGGAGGCAGTCATCTTGTGTGTTGGATTGATGGTCAATTTGTATATTACTCTTTTATTAGATAGGATAGAGGCCTGGTGCACAGTTGGAAGCCAGCTGGTTTGCCCTGAAGAGTGTCCCGGATGAGAGTGGTGGTTTCCTTGGGGTGTAAGGCAGCCTGTGGTGGTTTGCAGGCCAGCCACACCCCCCAGAAACCCAAGCAGAGTCCCTAGTATCTGGGATTTATTTATCTTCTATCATTGAAACTTTGTAGCCTTGAGTGGAGGCCTAGGCCAGCCAGGGTGTGCAGAAAACTTGGCTTCTTTCATTGCCAGGGAAACCCAAGCCTCCTGCTCATTCCGTGGCAGCAGCCATCTTGATTGGGTTAATTTGCATACTCGCTCCTGATTGGTTGGTGGATGTATCTGTGGTTTGTGGCAGAGTGATGGTTAATTTGCATATTATTCTTTTATTCGATAGGACATATAATATTGTGCATTGTATGCAGCAGGGGAAAATTTGAAAAAGAAATATCTTCAATGCAAATATTTAATACATGTATGGCATACCATACAATTGTGAAAAAGAATAAGTAGACTTGAATTTTTTGACTTGCAAAAATTTTCTGGCTTATTCAATTAGATCATAGTACTTTAAATCTAAATGTAATTTATGTTTTTAAACAGTACGTTTATTATGAATATATATGTAAATGAATAAAAACAGTTGAAATGTGCTCACTAAAACTTAATAATTTAGGACTTGTGAAGAACAAATCAAGGTAGTATTACATTTCATTCTATGTGCTTTAAATTTCTTCAATACTTTAAACAATTAAATATTAACTTAAAACTTGTTTAACCATAAAATAAAGAACTTAACAGCTATATAGCAAACTAAGGAGAATTTTAAAATAAGAGATATTTATATAATTGTTCCTTTCTAGCAAACATTCAAGATTCATTTACTTCTCAAATGCAGGTACTATAGTTGAAAAAAATGAGAGAATACATACATTGCTCAGAGGAATAATGTTACATTTATGAACTTCACATTAGACCTTCAACAAGAATGAGAATGGTTGAGTGGAGATAGGCCACACATCCAGACTCCTCCTTCTCCCAGCTTTTTTTCCCTGGCCAAATTCTTAATTTCATGTAGTTTTTACTTTTTTTTTCTTCTTTTTTCTTCTCTTCTTATTTTTTATTTTTACCTTATTGCATTAAACTTACATTTTCTGTGTAATGTCCCCTTTGAATAGAGATTTCCCCTTCACCAGAAAGAGACACTGTGCAACTTTCAGAGTGCAATAATACATAGCGGTCCTCCAGGTGACCTAGTATAGGATCAGACTACTGAACTTGCTGTTCACAGTGATGGGCAGAGAAGCCACATCATTGACCACATTGTTCTTTAAATCTCAAATCTAATACTGTGGGCCCTGCTTACTTATAAAACTGTCATTACCAGATGATGTATTCATTTCCTCCAAAGGTGGAATGGGAACAGGGTATGTTCACACCTGATCCTTCAGTAACTGTTCAAGGAGTTGGGCTGTATGGCCTTAGCATTACACATAATTCCTAAGAAGGGAAAATATATGTATAAGATAGTCTCCAGACCAGGGTAGATTTTTAAGGTCAAGATACAATATCTCTAGAACTTTCCTACCTGGCTCCCATTCTCTACTTCAACTTTCTCTCATTTTCATCCTATAGAAAGAACAAAATGTGGCTGTCGCTATCTAGACTCACTGACCAAGAGTCAGAACTCCATGCTCTCTCCCATTCCCCCTTTGGCCCAATGAATATAAGAAATTCTCTATAGCAGCGAAAGCTCTTTTGTGATCACTGAGGTTTATGGATTGAATTGTTTCCCCTTCAAATTCCTAGGTTGTAGCCCTAACCTCCAGTTCCTTAGAAAGTTATTTTATTTGTAGATAAGGTCTTTACTGGAGTAAATTAAAATGAGGTCATTAGGAGGAGCCTTAATCCATTATGCCTGGTATTCTGATAAAAAGGGAAAGTTGGACACAGAGATACACAGAGAGAGAAGGTTCTGTGAAGAGACATAGGGAGAAGATGGTTTTCTATAGGACAAGCAGAGGAGCTGGGAACAGAAATTCTCCTTGTAGCTCTCAGAAGGAACCAACCCTGCCAACACCTTGATTTCCAACTTTTATCCTGCATATCTGTGAGGCAATCAATTTATATTGCTAGTAAGCTAATCTCTGGTATTTGTCATGACACTCCCATACTAATATACTGGATACAGCCCTCACACTTGGAATATGACTTCTCCAAAAAGTATTCAACTATGATCTGAATTCTTGCTATAAGCATCTTGGAGAAAGGACAGTGAGGCAAATGGAGATAGGGCTGTCTGTTGATTCCTTAGTTTTCAACACCATCCTTTCTCAGGCTCCTGGCTCACCTAGAGCCAGAAGCACAGACTCTTCCATCTGCCTCATATTTCAACCAGACACTAGCACTCAGGGCACATAGCTCAGCTTCTGTGTCTGAATCTGGGCTGGGGGAGGTAACAGAACAGATATATCAGCTGCATTGCTGCCAGTGCCTCCCCTCACTTGGCTGCTGTCAGGCTGAGGAGTCCCAAGGCCTAGAGTCAGCCAATGAGATGGTAGCTCCCTAGTGGATACAACTCCCCAGGTTTAGTCATGTCCCTGATAAAAAAATGAAACAAGCATCCACTCTCAATCCCAGGGTTCCTTGAAAGAATTGACTATTTTTAAACTCTAAGAGAATGAGTCTGAAAAAGGAAAATAAGGACAGCATCCATTCAGAATCCTTTTCTTATTGCTTTTTCATGGCCCAAGAGAAAGACTACATGTTATTGGTGATCTGATGCTCCGTGGAGTTCAACAAAGTTTTCTTTACATCCAGGAAAACCACCAAGTCTTTTAGAGTAATGAGAAAATGGAGAAAGCCCATCTAAACGACAAGAAAGAGCAAATAAAACTCAGATGTGGGTGTGATGTGCAGAAAGTGACTGGGAAGGTTAAGGTCAGAGTCTAATGAAAGCCAATTGGGAATTCTCTGGTACCCTAAAATGCCTCTGGGGATCATGTGATTCTAGGGAGGCATTAGTAGACTCAGGTCTTAGTATAAAGAAACCAGAGACCTGGAATGGCACTCACCCTTTTACTCCACAAACCCTGTTTGTAACCCACCTTTCTGCATTCTCCATGTGAGCCTAGAGGTCTCACACACAGAGTGGAAGAGAATGGAGGGAGGAAAAGAAAGACACTGAAAAAAAGGAGGGAGTAGCTGCCCTAGCTGGTTTGCTCAGTGGATGGAGCATCAGCCTATGGTCTAAGGATCCCAGGTTCGATTCCAGTCAAAGACATGCACCTTGGATGCAGGCTCCTCCCCAGCCTGGACCCTGGTCAGGTACATGCAGGAGGCAACCAATCGATGAGTTTCTCTTACATCCATATTTCTCTCTGTCTTTTCTTCTCTCTACTTTTCTCTCTAAATATCAATGGAAAAATATCCTCAGGTGAGGATTAAAAAAAAGGGGGGGGGGAGTAGCCTTAAAACCATTTTCTTATTACCTCCTCTCATATAAGAGAACTGAAATAGATAAAGTAATTTCCTTTGTAACAAAAAAAAGTCTACTTTTCTCCATTACTACAAAATATTGACAAAAATAAATTAACCTTGAAAGCTGCATAGGCACTTCCTGTCTTCCTCCTGTGCCATCTTATTTTGAGTGGAAAGAAGACTTTTCATAATGTGTTGGGACAAGGCCAAGAATCATTGAATGTTGGAAGCTGTGCACAGACTGTTCTGCTTATAGCAAAGATAATGGAATATATCATTTGCATTTGTCACCATTTCTGCATAACTTCAAGATTGAATGTGAGCCAATCACTCTTTCCCCCACTGACTAGGGATGCTATGGACTGATATAGCAGCTCCCTCTTGTGACTAACCACGTGAATGCCTTCATTCAGATCCCGGGCAAGTCCAGCAACCTGGACTGGTAACATCACTTTATAGATATGGATAAGAATAGTTTATGTGTGCTTATAATGTAACAGAAAGAAAAAGGAATTTTGGTCAGAATGATTGCAGTGAGTACATTTTTTTTTTTTTTTTTGCAATATTGACAGAGTTTTGCTTCTTTTGATTTTTTAAAACCAAATGATCTTTCCTTTCTTCAGGCAGCTCAAGGAAAGGATGTACAACTGGAAAAGAAAAAATAAAGGTGTCCTTTTTACCATTTTACTTCCAAAATTTCAGTTGTATAAGCAAATGGAATGATCTGGCATAAACTATAGATTTTGGAGGTAATACAATAAAATAATACAAGTTTGCCTACCTGAGGGGGAGGGGGGATCCAAAACATTTCTAAGTGAAACAAGGGCAGAGAAAAAATATCAAAGAAAAAAGGAGTATCAAAGAAAAGCAAAGAGGCTTAAGTATTGATGAAGCCTGTGGAGGCATGCTGAGCTGTATCCGCTTAAAGACATCTTCAAAAGAAAACCATAAGACCCCTGGGCCACTGTCAGTTGTTAACTAAATCTCAGTGCATTCTTGTTTAAAACTTTCTTCTTTAGGGGGAGAGATCAACTGGGGAACTTACAGTATATGCCTATGTGTATAGGCCATGGACAAACACAATATTGTGGTGAAGCCTGGGAGGGGCAGGTGTGGGGTGGAGGTCAATGGGGGCAAGGGGGAGGGGGAGAAGGAGAAAATGTTCAGTGGAGGTAGCTAGATATGAGAACTCATAATGCATCGTTCTATACAGCTCCAGTCACATGAAGCTCAAGAACTGATGAAAGAAGTCAGAATAGTGGTCCCTTTGAGTGGAGAATTGGGAGAAAGAGCTGCTGAATGGGAAGGAACATGTGGAAATCTTTTGAAGAAACAGAAATATTCAACATATACTGTAGATCTGCGTGGCATTACATAGACAGAAACAAATGTAAATTTTTATTTATTTGTAGGCTTGTAAGTTTTGTGCACTTTATTTTATGCATTGTACTTTTATTACAGAGAGAGAGAGAGAGAGAGAGAGAGAGAGAGAGAGAGAGAGAGAGAGAGAGAGAGGGAGAGAGAGGAAGAAGAAGAAGAAGAAGAAGAAGAAGAAGAAGAAGAAGAAGAAGAAGAAGGAGAAAGGAAAGCACTCCTACCATTTGCAACAGCATGAATAGAGCTGGAGAGCAGTAAGTCAGTCAGAGAAAGATAAATATCACATGATCTCATTCATTTGTGGATTATAATGAACAACATAAATTGATGAACAAAAACAGATCCAGAGACAGAGAATCATTGATCAGGTGCTTAAACCTCAGGGGGAAGGCAGAGGAAGGTAGGGTTGAGGGGGAGAGATCAACCAAAGGACTTGTATGCATGCATATAAGCATAACCAAAGGATGCAGAAAACAGGGGGTGAAGGTGAGTTTGGGGGCATGATTGGGGGGTGAAAAGAATGGGGAGATAAGGACACATATGTAATACCTTAATCAAAAATAAAAACAACCAATAAAGAAATTAAAAAAGAAAAACAACAAAACAAAAAATAAAAAATTAAAAAATAATAAAGTGATTAAAGTTAAGAAATGAGAGAATAAAAAGAAAATAAATAGCACTTTAAAATAATGAGATAAATGTCAGTGCTGTCACCTGAGAATTAAGGAGGAGGAGACACACTCCAGTCTCGCCTCCTCCTTAATTCTCAGGTGACATTACTGACATTCGTATTAAAGTGAGAGCATCTGAAGTGATGCCAACACAGGTCAGGTTCAAGTGGATGAGGAATGGGAGTTGAGAAAATGGAGACAGTACGGTGCAGACAATTCTTTGATCTACTCTGATTATTAAGGAGAAGAGAAATGCAGAAATGTGGCTTGTGGATATGGGAGCCTCAAGAAGATATTAAAATAGGAAACATTCACTTATCAATAGACATGTGATCAGATTGTTATAAGATAAAAAAAATAAAGAAATTTCAGGGAAAAGTGTATTCCTGTGAAGTTTCTTTTCAAGTGGCCCAAGTCCAGAAACCAAGACTGTCCATATCACAGCTACGCCATCTCCGTCCCGGTGAAGGGCGCTCTGGGCCGCTATGAAAAGCAGACTGACCTATGAGCAGGCAGAGGGGCCCAGGATGCCTGGGCAGAATGAACAGTAGTCTCTGCCACCCGGCCGTGTCACAGACTTCATTCTCCACAGGACCACTTGGAAAGCGGTTCTGAGTGCTAAGTAAATACCTCATCGAGGAGGGAAACAACCAACAGCCCTTATGCCAGGGTCCCGCTGCAGGGTTTTGGTGCAGGCTGCAGGTGCCCGGGGAGCACTGTGGCTCCACCGCGCAGAGGTAGGTGGCTGAGTCTTCAGCTTTAGGGGCTGTGATGTTCAGAGAACTTTCCTTCTGTGATAGTGAGACGCTTAGTCTTCCCTTCTGATCTCCCTTCCCAACTGAGTACAGGAGGAAGAGGTGTCTGGGGCCTTTCCCAGGATCCTGCCGGTACCACTGGAGCCCTCTAAAACCACTGACTGTGTAACTGCAGGTGAGACTGACACTGTCTCCCTCCTGGACCCTCAGGGTCTGAGGACTCTGCTCCACCTGGTCTTCTCCGCTCAGCCCTGTTCAGGAAAACAAAAAACAGAAATGAGACACAGCTTTAAGTTCAGCAGCTTTGAAAAATCCCAATGAGAAACCTGGGATGAGCCAAAACTAAACCCTTATCTCATCTTCCCAGCCTCGGATAAATGGACCTTATGGTTCTCATCTCTGAACCTCTAACTTACAGCCAAGCTGAAGCCACAAGACTATGATTGCACACTCCAGCATGTTCTCCATCTGATATCTGTCTTGATGCGGCTTGTAACAATTCCAAGACGTCTCTTCTCTGAAGAACTGTTTCTGTGTCTTAGTTCTTATTTTCCCATGCCCAAGAAAGCCTTTCTGTTGGTGGCTGAGCCAATCAAAAGCAAATCTAGTAGCTGTCATGCGTTTGACATGCAAGACATTCCTGGAATCAGAGGAATGAAACCACTGCCACCTTGTGGTCATAAACACAATTGCATGGTACCCACTTCATCCCAGCTGCAAAGATTGAGGGAAGGATTTGGTGATATAGATGAGGTATGAAGAGTAACCAGAAAAGCCTTCTCTTACTTGCACTTTTAATTGCCTCATTGTTCGCTATATAGCTTTTAAAACGTAACTACTACCAGATGTTATAAAAGAGTCATAGAAGTGTAGATGTAATTGATTATTGCTTCTCTTTATAATACACAAGAATTTCAGCAGGTGAAATCTTAAAAGGATTAGCATACTGAAAATGGGGGACTTAACTAGGTTATGGATATGTTGAGAAACCTCTTTGATAGAGAATTGGGAACATAAGTTAAGAAATCCATTTCTTCAAGTAATTTTATGCCTGGTTACAGGGACCAAGAGTGGCCAAAACTGAGTCACAGACTTGACAGGTCTTAGGAGGCAGGGAGAGAATAGCACCCAGAGAGAAAATAACTCCATTTCTAGACATCAGAGAGATCAGAAAGTCACTGTGGAGGTGGGCAGTTTGTGGGGAGGGGTGATTATTATCCATGCAAATTATAAACACTTTACACACTATAAATAACGTGCAGAAGTCTTCCTTCCTCATTTATCCTTTAGTGCCACAGTTCATGCACAGAGCCAAGTAATCTAACACACACACTCATTATCAAGCAAATCTATATTTTCCATTCTGTGATTTGCTTTTTTCCCCATATAAAATGGCCACTTAGCATACCATTATATGAATATACCAAATTTTCCTTAAGTATTTTTACATTTTTCAAATTTAGATTATTTCTGAATTTCTACTACCACATATTATCCTATCTAATAAAACAGTAATGTTCAAATTAACCATCACTCTGCTGTACCACAAGCCATGCCCACAAGCCAATCAAGGAGCAAATATGCAAATAAACCCAACTAAGCTGGCTACAGCCACAGAAAGCAGGAGGGATACTTGGGTTTACCTGGCAATGGAGGAATTCAAGCTTTCCGCCTGCCCTTGCCGACCTAGGCCTCCACTCAAGGCTACAAAGTTTCAATTATAGAAGATACATAAATCCCAACAGAAATGGCTGCCACCACAGAGCAAGCAGAAAGCTTGGCTCTGCTCCAGACTACAAAGTTTCAATTGTAGAAGGTAAATAAACCCCAGATACCAGGACCTCTGCTTGGGTTGCCAGGGGGTGTGCCTGGCCTGAAAACCACCACAGGCCCCTTGCCCAGGCCGCCCCATGCTTCAAGGAAACCCCCACCCTGATCTAGGACACACTTCAGGGCAAACCAGCTGGCCCCCACCTGTGCACCAGGCCTCTATCATATCTAATAAAAGAGCAATATGCAGATTGACCATCACTCCAACACACAAGATGGCTATCCCCATGTGGTCATAGAACCTGCCCCAATGTGGACACAAGATGGCCACCACAAGATGGCTAGCAGGGAAGGGCAATTGGGAGGAACCTAGTCTGCAAGGGAGGGCAGTTGGAGGTGATCAAACCTATAGGGTAGGGCAGTTGGAAGGAAACCAGGTCTGCAGGGGAGAGCAGTTGGGGGGAACCAGACATGCAGGGGAGAGCAATTAGGGGTGACCAGGCCTGCAGAGGATGGCAGTTAGGAGCAAACAGGCTGTCAGGGGAGTAGTTAGGCATCAATCAGGCTGGCAGGAGAGTAGTTAAGGGGTGATCAGGCTGGAAGGCAGAAGCACTTAGGGCCTATTAGGAAGGCAGGCAGGCGAGCAGTTGAGAGACAGCAATCCTGGATTGTGAGAGGGATGTCCGACTGCCAGTTTAGACTGTCCGTGGGATCAGGTCTAAACAGGCAGTTGGACATTCCTGGAGGGGTCCCAGATTGGAGAGGGTGCAGGCTGGATTGCAAGCTGGACTGAGGGACACCCCCTCACCTGCAAGAATTTCACCAGGCCTCTAGTGTTAAAATAAATACCTTCATACAAAGATTTTTGCCAACATGAATATAAAATTTTTGAAAGTATAAAAACTACGACAAAGAATACATACATTTTTCATTTAATAAGTATAGCAAAATGCCCCTAAACAAATAATAGCAATTTACATTGTGTTTCTCCACTCACTTGCCACCAAATAATATAATCAAACTTCTTTAACTTTCTTAATTTAGTGGATGAAAAATGCTAAATCAGACTACCATTTTAAAATCTGTTATTGGTGAAGCTGGGATTTTAAAATTATTTAAAAAAAATTTTTTAATTGATTTCAGATAGGAAGGAAGAGGGAGAGAGAGAAACATCAATGATGAGAGAGAATCATTGATTAGCTGCCTCCTGCATGCCTGGTACTGGGGATTGAGCTCGCATCCTGGGCATGTGCCCTGACCTAGTTTCAAACCATGACCTTTTGTTTCATAGAGACCAGTGAGCCACACTGATTGGGCTAAAAATGATTTTTAAATCTATTTGCATGTTTTTCTTTGAAAAGTCTATTCAAAATTCTGTTTGTTAGTTTTGGAGTCAACACTATAGCTCTATGGCTTATTTGCTATGAGATTCTGAACCAGTTGCTCAGGGACTCCCTGTGACTTAGTTTCCTCAGCTGAGTAATTGAGAGAAAATAGTACACATCTTATAGAATTGCCATATCGTTTGAAATATGTGTTTAGACAGAGATTAGACAGCAAATAAATAGATTAGCTAGATTCTAAGATAAAATAAAGAAATGCCTAAAGTATAGCAAACATGATTTATAATAGCTATTATGTTATTGATGCAATTTTCTTTTGGAGAGTTAATCTTGTTTACAAAAGTTCTTAACACATTAAAGTTATATTTTCTCTATTTTTGCATCTTTTTATTCAATTTTGCATTTGATTTTGGCTTTTTATTGGTATTTTGCCATGTTGAAATGTTTGCTTCATATATTTATTGCTTTATTCAATGCATTCTCCTTATTCTGATCTGAATTTTGAACCTTGTCTTGACTCACTCCAACACTATTTTTTTTAATCCTGAAAATGTTTATTTTGTTTAAAATTTAACACTTCAAGTCTAGGATTTGGAATTATTTTGATCTAAAAAGTAAAGTAGGCATTTGATGTTTTTATATGTGGCTCATCAATTGCCCCAACATTATTTGCTATAATCTATTATTTCCCCCCAATTAGAACTAGCTTTGTACAATAGTATAAGAGTTTTCTACAGTACTTCATTTCTATTTCTTTATTCTCTCTTCTCTTTTATCAACCTGTTTAGTTATGCATTTGCTAGTACAAACTATTTTTAATTATTCAAGCTTTATAATACTATTTAATGTGTGATACAGCTTCTCTCTACTCCACCTCCATTATTCTTCTGCTTTAAAACTGTTTCTGATTTTCTGCATATTTAGTTATCACTTGAATTTTAGAATCAGCATGTCTAGTTTTAAACAAATATGTAAAACTTTCAAAGTAATCATATTTAGACAATATTACATTACTATACAAACAAGAGCTACTGAATTTAGAGAATGGTTGCCTTATGAAAATTAACCTCAATAATATCCTGACTTAAGTTCCAAGCTGTTTCTTAACATACATAACTTAAGTCATACATTAGGCTAAGACATGTATGGCAGAACTAGTTGCCTAGTTTATTTGGTTCTATGACACGTTATTGGATTTTGTCATTGAACATATGTTTTTCTTATTGAATTAGTCACCCTTCATATAAATTCCCTTTGAACTTGTCATAATACCACACTCTGCTCCCATTAGCTACAACTCAGAAAAAGAGCATCAACTCACAGATACACTACTTTGATATCACTCCATCCCTTCTCACACTTTGAGCAAGAAAAAATAAGCCACACATAATTCATGCACTGACAGAATGAACAATGTTTGTTGTTGTTTGGCTTTTTCTTTGCGGACTGATTTATTTTTCAGTGAAATTTATGATACTGACTTGTATACAATTTATCATTGATTTGATTTATTCTAGCCACCCTTAGCAAACTCTGACGCTGACAAATCATATTTTAAGGGCTGTTTTTCTCTGTTTCCAAATATGAGGATCTCAGATAGAAGATGAGAGAGATAACTGCAAGATTAGTGCCAGAGCTCTTCGCAGGATAGAAACTAAAAGACCAAGGGGCAGAATGGTGATGTGTAACAGAGCCAAAGGAGATGATTCACAGCTGTGAGCTTTACAAAAATTGTGTTTAATTTTTAAAAACATTTTTTAATTTGAGTTAATTATAGATTCATGAAAGTTCCAAAAATGTACAGGAAGGTCTTCATCCCATCTCCTGTCTGTTTCAACCAAGAAATTAATGTTGCTACATCCACAGAGATTATTTAAATTTCCACACTTTTACATGCACGTGTGTGTGTGTGTGTGTGTGTGCATGTGTGTTTGTAGTTCTATGCAATTTTACATATAATAGGTACAGATTCATGAATTTATTTGCATCCTATGTACAGATTCACTGCCACAATTCACTGCCACAATACACAACTGTTTCATTACCCTAAGGCTTCCTCATTATACCTGTTTGTATCTGCACTCGTCCCCTCTCCCCATCATTAACCACTGGCAATCACTAATCTGTTCTTCATATTTACAATTGTGTTATTTCAATAATAGTATATAAATTAAATTATGTAGCAGTAACTTTTTGAGACTGCTTTTTCCCCCCTCAGTGTAGGTAATAAAAGTATGAGACCTACCCAAGTTATTGTGTGTATCCAACCTGTTTGTTCCCTTATCTTTCTGACTAATATTCCATAGTATGGATGCGCCACAGTTTGCTCACCCAGTCACCAATTGAAGGACATTTCCCCCAGATTTTGATTGCTAGGAATAAAGCTGTGATGAATATTTATGTATGGGTTTTT